AAATTTATAATCCATATCTTATAAGAGTTATGATATGAAACTTTGTGGGTTGTCACAGTAGGGGCCTTAAATTTATAATCCATATCTTATAAGAGTTATGATATGAAACTTTGTGGGTTGTCACAGTAGGGGCCTTAAATTTATAATCCGTATCTTATAAGAGTTATGATATGAAACTTTGTGGGTTGTCACAGTAGGAGTCTTAAATTTATAATCCATATCTTATAAGAGTTATGATATGAAACTTTGTGGGTTGTCACAGTAGAGGACTTAAATTTATAATCCATATCTTATAAGAGTTATGATATAAAACGCTGTGGGTTGCCACAGTAGAGGCCTTAAATTTATAATCCATATCTTATAAGAGTTATGATATCAAACTTTGTGGATTGTCACAGTAGAGGCCTTAAATTTATAATCCATATCTTATAAGAGTTATGATATAAAACGCTGTGGGTTGCCACAGTAGAGGCCTTAAATTTATAATCCATATCTTACAAGAGTTATGATATCAAACTTTGTGGGTTGTCACAGTAGGGGCCTTAGATTTTTTTTACAAGAGTTTCAATATGAAAAGTTGCCTTAGATGATGGAAATGGAAGTTGGTTTATAATGTTGAAGCGTACGAAACCCCTGGAAAAATAAAAATAATATTTCACTTAACCAACATAACTATAAATATTTTATTCTTGGTGTTTCGTTTTTCTAATCTATGCAAGCAATCGAGCTGTTTTTATTAAATTCGGTACATGATGCATCTAACTGTGTTTTAAAAGTCGATAAATATAACATCATGAAACTCGTCCTACTAAACCTGAGTCTGTAACTGTACTTATAAAGCGCTTAACGATCGGTATTTTTACTTTGCCAGATGTTCTCGGATCATAAAAGTAAATATGATTTTAATTTTCTTTTATTGGACAGCTTAGAACAGCTGTTGATGACATCCTGAGACCTGATCATGATGATTACTTTCTTCTTCGGTACCTTAGAGGTAAGTCATACAGATAGATAATAAATATTTTGTTTTTTGTTGAATTTCGCACAAATCTTCTCGGGGACTAGCTGCGGTAGCCGTTCCTAATTTAGATACAAGTAATATATATTTTTTAAATAAGGATGATGTAGGGATGACAATGCGAAAAACTACAGAAACAAGGTAAGGATGGATACACAAAACCATACAAAAATCTATACATAAATAGCCAGATCTTTCAAAGAAAAACTTATCTACAGCTAAATGTTGAATTCATTTAACTTGCATGAATTTAGGTTTGAATAAAAGCATTTATACTGAATAATGTTATAAAGTTTTACAATGGCTAATTCCCATAAGCTTGTTACATTGACTCAGTGGCTACTTATGTAGGGATTTTTGTATGGTTTTCTGTATTTATTCCTACCTTGTTTCCGTACATTTTGAAATTTATAACATTATTCAGTATAAATGCTTTTGTTTTACAATGGCTAATTCCCATAAGCTTGTTACATTGACTCAGTGGCTACTTATGTAGGGATTTTTGTATAGTTTTCTGTATTTATCCCTACCTTGTTTCTGTACATTTTGGATTACCATCTCTTCGTCATCCTTATTTTTTCACATGTTTTCTTATTAATTGCTTCCTCTATTTTTTTTTTAATGCTGTTAATTTACGTACTATGAAAAACGTAGCGAACGATGATCCCTTTTATTCCTCCGTACGTTTCTGCAATAAGGATTATATTTGGTTGAGAAAAGATTTAATTAAAAAATACTGATGGAATTCCATCGGCTTTTTTATCACTTTTTTTACAAAATATTTATGCATCAATTTCTTGCGGATTTGTAAAATAAAAACCCTAAAAACACATGAGTGACATAAAACATAAAAAAAACAATATTGCAATTAACCTCACTACTTACTGGTATGAATTTTACACATAAAATCAGTGATTTCAACCTATTTTTCTTAGTTAATTATTACTTTCTTAGTGCAAAGTTACACAATGAACTATATATCTCTGTCCACCGCGAGGAATCAAACTCCTGATTTTAGCATTGTAGGTCCATAAACATACTGCTGACCCACTGGGGTACATTGAATATTGTAGCAGGCAAACATAAAGTTATATGTCTCAGTATGTGTACCCCAGCGGTACAAACACAAGCGGATAATGTATATTTTTAATTTAAACTTTAAATTTACTAGTTCTTCTAGTTACAAACAAATGCCCCCCCCCCCCACGTGGCACAGCGGCATATCTGCGGACTTACAACGCTAGAAACCGGGTTTCGATACTGGTGGGCAAATACATATTTTTAATAGCTTTTGTCTCCTGCTAAAATTTTAAGAATTTACTTAGAAAAGGCTTCGTCTTATTAACCCTTGTTTTGTGTGAAATGCGAAATTAGATAATTTAATTCATAATATACGATGAAGGTGTGGTTGAGAGGCTTTTCAAATCTACACACGCATATATATATAAAAATAGGCACGTAAACCAAACCTCCTTCTTAATGTAGCGGTGGATGTAAAAAACAATCAATCCACAGTTTTCCAGTCACAATTTATATCTGTACAATAATGTTGCCCATTTCTATCCAGTCACAGTTTATATCTCTGTACAATAATGTTGCCCATTTCTATAGCGAGCAACGAAGATTACCAGATAAATCGTAGTTTTTGAAGTGTTAATGATTCGGTTCAGTTCGTACATATATTGCAGTCTACGATGACAGGAAAGAACGGAACAGTCTACAATCATCCCGAGTTTGGTGCCTACGTGACCACATTCGTCTTCAGCTTCTCGAGACCTGACGTTCGGCTCGTCAAGTATTTTATCCTCCAAGAGCCTACATTTCTATGAAGTTATTTTCCATCATGATATATCTTTAAAATGTTGATATGATAATTTGTCTACATATCAGAACAGTTACGTAAACAAATCTGATAATTTGGCTATAGTTTCATTTTCTTATTTCTATTATAATTATAAGAACTTCTGAGTAAAAGCAAATAAGATTGTATAATACTAAAATGTCAACCACGCTAGTAGTTAGCGGGATACTTTCAGACATTAGTGCTGATTAGCTGCCTCAGGGGGAAAGAAGGGGTAAAGACGATGACGTCATAGTTCTACAACGTGTCACCAGAGTGCACATTGTTAGGGATGCGTTGTTAGGCTGACATGACAGGCGGCCATGACGGACGATTACGTCATAATTCCACAAAAATTCACCAGGGGTGCGTTGCTAGGTAGCCATGACAAACGATTACATAATAGTTCAACAAAGTGGAACCAGACAATATTTTACTAGACCTCATGACAGGCGGTCCTGACATCAGAGAGGATGGCATCATAGTTCCATAATATGTCACCAGAGGGGTACTTTGCTAGGCCACCATCACAGGCAGCCATGACGTCAGAGGTGATGATGCACACGTCATGTATCAACGTGTCTCAACATGACTATAATTAATACAATCGGTTTAAAACACTAATTTAATAGTTCTATACATTTCCTACCATTTATATGTAAAACATTCAGAAAAAATACCTTTATTTAGATATCATGTAATTATTTAAAATTTACTGTTTCACCAGTTTGACTTTATTCCATATAACGGAAGTATAGAAACCTCTTTATTGGATGTATGCAATTAAATGTACATTTAACTCTGTATGCAATCCTTAGTAACATTGCTCACCTTTGTAAATGTATACATAGAACATCATCCACTTTTGAAAAACACGTGTAAATGATCTTTTTGGTCAAGTGATATGAATATAATAAAGTCAAACTAGTGAAACAGTAAATTTTAAATCATTGCATGATATTTAAATAAATGTATTTTTTCTGGATGTTTTACATATAAATGGTAGGAAATGTATAGAACTATTAAATTAGGGTTAAGCATCCTTTTTCAGGACGATTTACATATAAATGGTCGGAAAATCTAATTAACTAATGAATTAGTGTTTCAAACCTATTGTATTAATTATAGTCATGTTGAGACACATTGATGCATGATGTGTGCATCATCATCTCTGATGTCATGGCCGCCTGTGATGGTGGCCTAGCAACGCCCCCTTTGGGGACATTTTATGAAACTATGACGTCATCCTCTCTGACATAGTGGCCTAGCAAAATATTGTCTGGTTTCACTTGGTTGAACTGGTGAAGTTTTGTGGAACTATGACGTCATCATCTCTACCCCTTTCCTTCCCTTGAGGCAGCCAATCAGTGCTTGTGTCTGAAGTATCCCGCTAACTACTCACGCTATACTCAGTGCCAACAAGGTCTTTCGTCTATTACCAGGGTTTTCAGGATATGAAAGACAGAGTAGTGTACGGTGCTAATTGTGTGAATTGTAATATTTCATCAGTTTTATATATGTCGCATCATAATTAGGGTAAGGATTTTTAACACTATCTTCTTTATTTTAACACCATATATTTTGTTTTTTCAATTAATCTGCTCATTATTCATAAGAACTAGCAAACCAGCAAGCCAATATTATGATATGTGTGTGTGTTATTACTTAAAATTTACTGTAGCATGTATAGGAATTCGGATTTTCAGCCTGTATGTCACCTTATCAAGTACGTGGGCTAAACGGCCAGAAAGAGAAAAACGAAATACTTTAATTTGTCTAACATTTCCTTTTTTATAGCTTCATCATGAGCGAGCTCCTATTTTCACAAGTAAACTCAAAACTTGTTTCATGAACCACTGTAGAAAAAAGAAGAGACCATTTGCACCTACAACACTGGCATATTTAGCATGGGTAGCTACACCAGGGAGCGCTGTAGCGATTCCTATGTAGGGATGAGTCAGGTTGAAATTGGCAACCTGTACATTTTGAACATGGTAGCGCGCACGCTAAGACATCGACAAAACCTAGCCAAGGGGACAACAGAAAGCCCTTCACTAATGAAGTATAAAACCCCCCTCTAAAGTTTGGTTAATCTTCCTTGAAGAAAACGGGCTGCAAAAACATCGATTTTCTTCATCTTCTTCTGTCAGCTGTAACCCATAAACCATAGTGTGCCTTCAACCAGCCTGCATACTAAAACACTTCAATACTCCCTAGGATGTGTCTGTCTAACCTATAGCAACAAGTGATCCACGATAGGTTTGTTACAGCCCGAAATATACAGATTGTGTAATATTGCCCCATACGTATATCAATCAATAGATGGCGCTATCTGTGATGCTTATCTTATCGGATTCGAGGTGTTTTGAAACGTGTAAGTTGTATGTTGATATAAAGCATTTACCGTTAAGAAATTTCTACACTTGTAGAAAATTTAATTTCATTGACTTTGGGATAGTTCAACTTAAAAAAAACGAATACCAAGCACGAGAAGGTTGTTTTGTTGAATCTGTCAGCACACATTTCTGTTTGTGTCTGAATAAAAATTACATCGTAGATTTCGCTATTTTGTTCGCGTTTTTACAAACACCCCTAATTTAAGATGTAATGTTGACCATAAGCTGTTAGAAGAACAAAAGACAGTCACTTGAGATGTAATGTTGACCATAAGCTGTTAGAAGAACAAAATACAGTCACTTGAGATGTAATGTTGACCATAAGCTGTTAGAAGAACAAAAGACAGTCACTTGAGATGTAATGTTGACCATAAGCTGTTAGAAGAACAAAAGATAGTTACTGCCCCCAGTGGCACAGCGGTATGTCTGCGGACCTACAACGCTAAAAACCGGGTTTCGATACCCGTTGTGGGCAGAGCACAGATAGCCCATTGTGTAGCTTTGTGCTTAATTTCAAACAAACAAACAAGATAGTTACTTAAGATGTCATATTGACCTCTGCGTGTTAAAAAAATAAGATACAGTCATTGAAGATGTGATCTTAAGCTCCATGTGTTAGAAGAACACGAATCACCTGAAGCCTTACGTTTATCCATCTCCACAAAAATATGTTGCTTGTTTAACTAGTACTGTCAATCTTGATAGTGCCTTATAATTCTGGGTCTAATAAAATCCTTGAGTTTCGAAGTATATTGCTCGTGCTCACAATTCGAGTACAGAGAGTGAGAACCATTTTTGATGAAAACATAGAAATGTTATAGTTAAATGGAAAATAAACAAGAAAAAAGCAAGAACTTCGTAGAAAAGTCCAAATGTAAGGTAACAAGAAAACCAATGAAGTTACTATGGTATGAAACCAAAGATCTAACTTGTAATGAATAATAGTTCATGTAATTAAACATTAATCGGGGAGCGCGGTAGCGATCCCTATCTAGGGACGAGTTAGTTACAGCCCAAAGTACACGGTCTCTAATTAGTAAGCCATTATGTACGTTGTATGGAAGAATATTGCATACCATATATTTCTTACCGCGGCGGGCAACATCCTAGTCATCACTTATCTTGCGTCAACAAATAGATTATACTATGGCTCCCTATAGAACAGAACTGAATAAGTTGGTGAAATAGTGCCTTTCACCTAGTACCTACAGCCCCACTGGAAGCCAAGACTTCGACTCTTAAAAAGTGTAGAACCTAATAACAAGAAATTTTATCCTAAATTGTTGGGATATACAGATGGAAAACGATCAAAAGCTAGAGAGGATTAGGGAAAATCTGTATTACTCCGCCTTAGTCCACCACCTAATGTATATATGCATACACTCTGTGAGGGAACTGTACGAGTAGTCCACCACCTAACGTATATGTGCATACACTTTGTGAGGGAACTGTACGAGTAGTCCATTACCTAACGTATATGTGCATACACTCTGTGAACGCACTGTACGAGTAGTCCACCACCTAACATATATATGCATACACTCTGTGAGGGAACTGTACGAGTAGTCCACCACCTAACGTATATATATGCATACACTCTGTTAGTGCACTGTACGAGTATTCCACCACCTAACGTATATATGCATACACTCTGTGAGTGCACTGTACGAGTAGTCCACCACCTAACGTATATATGCATACACTCTGTTAGTGCACTGTACGAATAGATACACCAACCATGTTTAATTTTGAACTACTAATCAGACAGAAGAAGGCCAACAGCACCCACTGAACTGTTTAGCCCAGATTTTTGAGCCGAATAATAGGGACTGTGTTACATCCATAACACGCTAAAGCTAAAAGTGTGAGCGTATTCAACGGCATTACGTATCGAATCTTGGATTCTTCAATCCGCAGTCTGACACCCAAATCACTAGGCCAAACCCAGTCTATAGCAAGTACATAAATTTTCCTTCAAAATACGGAATATAAGTTTGAAAATGTGTTCCAGAAACTCTTTCTCGAAA